TCACATCTACTCTTATCCCACTAGGTTAAAAGGGGAATCAAATATGGATTTATAGTTTTATAAAACACTAACATAAAACATTAGTAGAACTAACTTCAAATCTGTAAGCAGGATTGTTAAAGGGGAGATATATTTTCACTGAAGGTTAACATATAACCAAATCTAATTCCTTCAAAGTGCATATTTTAAACCTAGATTTATTTAAATAGAGCCAGCTAAATGAAGGGTGGCAACAAGAAAAAGACAAAGAAAGTGAGGAAAAGAGAGGAAAAGAGCAATCATCTCATTCAGCAAATTATTTTTATAGACAAAAAAAACTAAGATCAAGAAGGTTTAACAATTTGTCAGATGGGTCATACTAATTTACATTAGACCCAACCTAGGAATGAATCTTCTGGTTTTTTTTCAGAGTTTTATGAGAAATTTTATTTTAAAAATTCAATTAATATGTATTTAGCATAAAATATCTCATATTCTATGAAAATAGATTTGTACAAAGGAAAAGTAGGAACACTGCATGATTGGGAAAAAAAATTAAATGATGTCAAAACGTTGATTATCTTTAAATCAATTTACACAATCCTTGATATAACTGCGATTTGACTGTGTTCTAAAGAAAAAAAATTTAATTCAAAGAATAGTAAACAGGGCCAGCTTCATAGCTCAGTGATTAAAAGAGCTATATCCCATATGGCTCACCAAGATCCAAATCCCAGCCTTGTAGGTTTGAAAAACATGCTGTGTGCATGTATATGTGTGCCCCAAATCCTGAATGGAAAAATAAAGGAGAAAGGACTGCAGCATGACTACACTCCAACGTAGAGTTCTCTGTCTCTCTTTCTCTCTCTCTTGTGAGCACACACTTGCTCTGGCAACTAAAAAAAGAATTTAAAGAATAATTAACAAAAATATCCATTAAAAATTCAAAAAAGAGTGACTTCTCCTATCAAGTATTACAAAGAATTAGAAATTAAAATTGTGTGCTCATAAATAGACTGAGAACACAATGAAATATAAAATGCAAAAATAGACTAAACTATAAATGGACATGTATTGTACAATAAAAGCAGCAGTGTTGAAAGACAATACGTGAGCTCAGTTCTTCCTCTCTGGAGACTGCAGTGGATGAATCCACAGGGTAGTCTTGTCTCGCAGTGTGTGCTTCTCGACGTTCTGATGTGCCACTATGAGTGGGGAGAACATTTAACATTCGAGCTGAGCATCTCTGGATGTGTCTGGATGACATTTCTCCTGATTCCGTACACAGCATAACCTGCTCTCAGTGTCCACAGTATGAGAGCTCTGGTGAGCTGAGATTTGATGGTCCTCAGCAAAGTTTTATCACTGGCAACTGACCCCTTTCTTCTTCTTGGGAACCTGAGAACAGCTAAGTGTAGGTGCAGTAATTCTCTCAGTTGGTGACCTGCCTGGTGCAGAATTCTCTGGGGACGCTTCTCTTCATGGAGCACTCCGGTGGCAAAACTCTCACACAGTCCATGGAGGAACCACTTTCAGTGGGACACTGGGGCAGGCCACCCCAAGGTGAATTAGTCTTAATTAATACCTCAAATAGCCAAATAGGTACAAAGCAGGCAATTTCCTATTCCTTGGATATTCCGGGGGGGGATTTTTTATATATATAGTATATAATTTATATATATATTATATATATGTGTGTGTGTATATGTATATACACATACATACATATTTGGGAAGAATAAATATTGCTTTTAAGAAACAGAAGCCATCTTTTTCAGAGGATGTGCTAGAATAAAAACTAGTAAATGTTCTATGCCTGGATGAAAAGTATGCTAGTGTAAGAAATGTTCTTGCTATGTAGAAATGAAGAGGATACACCCTCAGGGTAGAGTCAGAGCAGCACCAGCACTATCTATTGTTGTTAGGTCTTGGTAGGACCAACAGGCACTCTGAGGAAATTGAAGGAGGTTGCCTCAGACATTGCTGCTAATTCTTGAATTTCACAATTTTCCTGGAAAGTCTATATCATTCCATGACCCTCCTGTCTATGATTAGACATCAGATAATCAGAAGTCATTTGCCGTCTGCAGAACATGACATTCATTACTTTCCATTTTCCAAAAATGGTCATATTTGATTTTAGTGGGGATACATATTTATTTACTTATATACTTAAAATAAGAATCTGGGGGATCAGCAGTTAGCATAATGGCTATGTCGCTGGGCTCCCATGTAGTCAACTGAGGTTCGAGTCCGGGACCCGGTGACTTGAGCTCACGCCGGGTGCATGTGCATGCATGCCCAAGATCCCGAGAGGAGAATGGAGAGGGGATTGTGGCATGGCCATCCCCTCTGGGGGGATGATTTCTCACTTTCTATCTCTCTGTCTCTCTCTTTCTGGTGAGCGCATGCACCCAATGAGAAAAAAAACTCTCCAAAATAAATAAATAAATAAATAAATAAATAAATAAATAAATAAATAAATAAAATAAGAATCAGGAAACCAACCTATGTACCCAAAACAATTTTTAAGCCCCCTCTGATATTTTAATTTTTAAACCATATTTTCATTTTGTTTTCTTTATGTCATACAGTAACTTTTTTCCTCTTAAAAACAAAACAAAAACACTGAAAATAACCCAGCTTCATTGGTGCAGTCAGTCCTGTGCTGAACTTCAGGGCTGAAAGCCACATGCTGACCAGCTGATCAGCTCCCCAGTCTAATCAGCCTGAGAACACACAGATGCAGGTGCATGTCCAAGGATTTAGAAGACTGGGGGAAGGAGACTGTGTTGAGACCAGACTGTTAAAGGTTGTTTTTTTTTTCTTTTTCTCTTTATCACAATGCATACACTATCATTCATAAAATAAATAAAACTTTTTAAAAATGTAAAACATTGCCAAAGTGAATCTTATTTGGTAAAGATTTTTTAAAAGTAAAAATATCTCTATTTTTCTGTCTCCTTTGTATGACAGTCAAGTCGATAATCAACTGGGTGGTTTCTGTCATCTTCATTCCACTTCTTTCCATTACTTTAGAGTTTCTTTTCATGCTGACCATTATTTCCCATCAAACACATAAATATGATTCTGTAAGTCTTCTTCCACTTGTTTTTAAGAATGAGGGAACCAGCAGTTAGCGTAATGGCTATGTCGCTGGACTCCCACGTAGTCGACCGCGATTTGCGTCCCGGACCCGGTGGCTTAAAACTCACGCCGGGCGCGTGTGCGTGCGTGCCCAAGAGCCCGAGAGGAGAATGGAGGAGAAGGGATTGCGGCATAACCATCCCCCCTGGGCGGGTGATTTCTCGCTTTCTGTCTCTCTGTCTCTCTCTCTCTGGCGAGCACATGTGACCTATAGCAAAAAAAAATCTCCAAGAAAAAAAAAAAAGAATAACGATGTCTCTTTAGGGAAAAAAAAAAAGACTGAATAAAACTCACAGAAACACTTTTAACAATTTAATGTTGGTATTAACATTGGCAAAAGTTTCAGTGAACAGCCAGATAGTAACTATCATAGACTTTCTGAGACATACAGTTTAATGTTGTAACTACTCAAGTCTGCTATTGGAGCATGAATGTAGTCATGGTGTACAAAAGAATGAGTGTGGCTGCGTTAAAGTACAATTTCATTTACAAAAATAAACATTAGGTCATATTTGCCCTATGGTCATAGATTGCTAAGCCCAGCACTAGACCATAGTGACCTCGTCCAAATTTAATTAATGACTTTTATCTCTCATCAATCCTTTCTAAGCATCCTGAAGACCATAAATAATTATGTCAATTAGCCCCTAAACCAGTCACGTACTTTTTCACATTATTGTTCTATGACATTTTTCTATTTATAGAAATATGTTAATTCTTTTTTAGAAATATTCCAATTAGGCTTAGATGGCCAGTAAGCAGTTAGATAATTAAAAGATCAAGAGCACTGTCTAAAATAGGTATGAGTATTACCATAATGTAAATACTGAAGAGCTATGGAATGTTCTAACATGTAAAAAGCTTAGAAGTCATTGCTTTCATTTGTACAAGAAAAGTCTGGATGAACTGAAAATAAATGATTATTTTTGGAACCATCAAAAACTGAGGTGACAAGACTAACTACTACCCTAGACTGGAAATAAATGGATTGTTATGTGTTAAATTGTGTTTCTACAAAGCACTTGTTCAAATCCTAACCCCAAACACCACATACTGTGAACTTATTTGGGCATAACATCTTTATGTAATTAATCAAATTCAAATAAGGCCATTAGGATAAACCCTAATCCAAAGTGGCGTTTTTCAAAAGAGTGGATTTCTTTAAGAAAAGGAACATAAAGACATGGTGACAAACCAATGAAAGGGAGACCATGTAAAGAGTCAGGAAAAGCATTATTTACAAGTCAGGGAAAACCTGAGGCTTCTGGAAACTAGGAAAGGCATGGAACAGATTCTCCCACTTGGTCTTCAGAAAGAACAAACCTAATCATGAAAGAGGATCTGGTCACTCAAGAAAATTATACAGAGCAATCAATCAATGAGAGGTTAAAAGACAGAACAATATTTAAAAGAACCTGAATGATAAGTGACTGATTAAAAATATGACTGATAAAACAAGCAGTCCCTACAGTCATTGTACACTAGTCATTGTACTATGCTCTAAACTCATACTGCCAAATTGGACCCAGAGAATAAAACCTTTTAAGTGTGGTAGTTTATGGAAAAGGTACTCTATAGCTTGTTTGAACTTTTAGAAACTTGAGCTACAGATGATCATATGCTTCATTGTTTAGTTGGAGAGTTGCCATTTAGTCATGTCCTCATTGTTTAGAGGACAAAGAAATGGGTGATTATCTGTCGAAGATAACATATATAGTATTCTCAACTGGACTGGGGAAAAAATGCATACATGTTGGAATATTCACTTTGCAAGCTAAGTAATGTGATTGAATGTATAAAAGAAGTTGAAATAAAAAATATTTAAAACACTGTTTAGAGGAATTACTGAATGCTACCTAACTGAAGGGCATTATATGTGGATTCACATTGGTTTGTCCGTGGAAATTGAAGAACTTCAAGGTAAAATATGAAAGTTATAAAATGTGAAGATTTTAACAATTAAGTTGAATTCAGTCATGCCAATAACAGGTATGATGAAGAAAGAGACTATATAGAAATTAAATTTTCTCCAAGAAGGAGATCAAAGAAGGAAAATGAAAGATCAGACTATCATGTAGCAGAAGCTCAGTAATTTTTTCTTGATCAATGCAAAAATATAAGAAGACTTTGAAAAGTTTATGAAAAAAATAGAATTAGTGCAAGAGTTTATTTCGGTATAAAAATTGAAATTCCGGTGAGTGTTTTTAATATTATGCATTTTCCATGAATTTTTTGAAGACTACTCCTCATATTAAAAAATAACTTATTTGATGTGTAATATTAACATAAATGAAATGAAGTAGTAAAAAAGCTTAAACCAGGTGTCTATATATATATATATAAATATAAATGACTATGAGTTAAATAAGTGGGTAAGAGCAATAAAACGTAATAATTGTGTATCAGAACAGATACAAAGGACCTTAAAAAAAGTTGTTCTGCTTGAAAAACATGCCATGTACATGTGCATACATGTCTCAAATCCTGGTGGGATAGAGAAATGAATTACGAAAGATGGTGTCATAACCATGCCCCATAATGCTCTCTCTCTCTCAAGTAAGTGTGTCATCTAACAGACAAAAATCAAAAGGCATTCTGGAAATGATCAGACTGAAAATAATCCATTTTGGGGATCAGTGGATCTATATTTGGTCAACCTTTCAAAATAAGAACATAGGATTTTCAGAAAAGTCATGATGTATTTTTTCTATGTTTTCCAAAGGTCATTTATTTATATATAAAACAAAGATGACTGATATATTGGCTATTTTGTTTGGTAACTTTTTTGCCTTCTTTCAGTGGCTTCATAAGTCCTCATTCATAGAAGGACCTATCTTTATTGGTGAAAAACTAAACAAAGTGCTGATTCACAGCCTCATCTGAATTGAATGTTATATGCAGAAGGAGTTTTGAAGAGAGAGAAACGAGTGGACGTTTAATGGTGCATGGTCACGTGAGTATGGTGGGTGTGGCAACACATCCCATGTCAACTCCAGTAATTTCCAATGAGAGATCAAACTTCCATGTGGTCTCACATTGTCATGATAGAACACAACTTCTTTATTATATTTCTGGCTGATAGATTCATTCAAACGGTCCAATTGCTGACAGTACACATTCAAATTCAATGATTGGTTCCTTGGTAGGAGCTCAAAAAATACATCTTTAAAATCTCACCACACTGAGAACATAACCTTCCTCTGATGAATGTCTGCTTTCAATGTTGTTTGAGACGAATCATCACATCCAGACCAAGACCGTTCACATACCACATTGCTGTAAATAATCCACTTCTCATCACCCATTTTCAGTCGCTTCAAAAAAGGATCATTTTCCTCACCTTTAATGAGTAAGTCCCTGTATTTACATGTGCTGTCAAATGAATTTCTCTGAGTTCATGAGAAACCCAAATATTGAGTTTGCTTATGTATCCCAGTTTCTTCAGGTGGTTATGAATGCTTGAATGATGGATGTTCAAAGTTTCTGCAATCACTCACTCATGTCATATAATGTGGATTTGACTCATTCAATGCCTTTATTTTGTCGTCATCAACCTCAGTGGGTCTCCTTGAGCAAAGAGCATCATTGAGAACAATATCACCAGCACAGAATTTTGTGAACCATCATTGTCACCAATGCTCTTATACAGCGTTGTCACCATAAACTTTGCACAACTTTTCACAAGCTGTCGTGTGTTCTTCCTTGTACAGAAGTAAAACGGTAAAATATGGTGAAAATGCAGTTTGGTCTTCCATCTTCAACTTGTTGTAAAATCTCCAAAATTCAACCCAATTGCTTAAAGTTTTGTTGAATGAAGCTAAAACTGTCAGCTGTCAAAGACATAGCAATAACATAGATGCAAGTGACTAGTACTTCCAAAAATAAACTAGCATTGACTGTTAAAATATACATCATGAATTTTCCAAAAATATTTCGATGTGAGGGACCTTGAAAGAGGTTGGGGAGGTTCAAGAGTTTTTGAAAAGGCATGAATTATTTCCTAGATGGATCACAGGTTTGTAACAGGCTATGAGTGGCCTAAGACATGTTTGCCTCATAGTGGGCCTTGTTGTCTGGGTAAACTTTTAAGGAAAAAACAAAAGGAGAAGAAATTACATAATTTCAATCACAAGCAAAAAAGAAAATTTACCTATAAGCAAGTGTGAATCCAGAAGTAGTGATGGATAATGTTGAGTTATTACATGTCAAGGCTATACACTGGTAAGAGATAGTTTATATTTCAAGATTACAGTAGGTGTTATGTTCATATGAAGACATTAGACTTGTTAGAAGTTGATTTAACATCACATCTGTTTAATGCAATTTGCAAACCTTTTTGAAACAACTTTAAAAATAAGTGTGAATGTTAGGGTTTGGAGTTGAATTGGGAGTGTGTTGTACAGCTGCACTGATAAGATGAATGCTAACACCAGCCTGCTCAACATTTACACACAGGCCTAGGATTTTATGAAAATTAATTTCTAAAGTTTCTGTGTTTATAAATTTCCTGGCACAATGTCAACTGAGGACCCAGCTTAGTTCTTAAAGCATGAAGTGCTAATTATGTTTTTTCCAACTTCAATAAAGGTGAAAAATATTGACATTTCCAACGGTCTTACAAAATTTGATCTAGCTTTACACAGCATCACATATTTCAGAGAACTAGATTAAAACTTTAAATTATTAACTGTTGATCCTCCTGTTGTGAATTCAAAGGCATGACTCTCAGAGATAACATTTGAATAAAAACATCATTGTGAATTGTTATATAAAAAGATGCATAATATTGAAAATGGTTTATAATGATCCTTTACTTAAGTAGGCTTCTTTCTTTCTTTCTTTCTTTTTCTTTTTTTTTTTAAGAGATTTTTGCTATAGGGCATGTACGCTCACCAGACAGACAGAGACAGAGAGACACAGAGAGATAGAAAGTGAGAAATCATCCCCAGGGGGGATGGCCATGCCATAATCCCTTCTCCTCCATTCTTCTCTCAAGATCTTGGGCACTCATGCACATGTGCACGGCATGAGTTTTAAGCCACCGGGTCTGGGACTCAAACTGCGGTTGACTACATGGGAGTTCAGTGACATAGCCATTATGCTAACTGCTGGTCCCATAAGTACACTTATTTCTAATGGTCTCACTAATTAGCTAAAATTAAAAATATTAATATTATCATAAAAATACAGCTTCAGATTTTTAACAATGCAAGGAACTACAATTGTTAATGACAGAGAAAATGTCCTTTCTTTTGATTCTAACCACTTTATGAAAGTATGACTTTACATACAAAAGACTGTACATATTTAATATGTGCAACTTGATTAGTTTGGAGATTAAGTATCCATTGACAAAACTATCTCCACTATCTGTGCCATAAACATATCTATCACCTCCAAAAGTTACTTCCTACCCTCTTCATTTTACCCTATCATTATGATGGCATTGCTGCATAATAAAACATTTAACATAAGATGGTAAATTTTAGCAAATTTTCGATATGTAATACAGTAATGTATATAGGAACTATGGTGTGTGGTGTATCTAAGACTTACTCAGCTCATATAACTGAAACATGGTACCCTTTGACTAAGACCTCCCTGTTTCCCTCTATGGGTAACCCCTGGCAATCACCATTCTACTCTTTGCTTCTATGCATGTGCTATTTTTTCAAATCCTTTTATATGTGGCATTATGTATTAATTTCCTATAGCTGTCATAACAAAGTACCACAAACAAGGTGGTTTAAACAACAGAAATTTATTGTCTTGCAGTTCTGGAGCCGAGACATTTGAAATGAACAAGTCAGCAAATCCCTATGAAATCTACAGGGAAATTTTTCCTTTACTTTTCCTAGCTTCTGTTATTTTGCTGACAAATTGGTATTTAGGGATTTATAGATGCCACCACTCCAGTTCTTGGCTTTCACAAAGCATTGTCCCCATATCTTTGGCTTCACATGGCATTTTATATATGAAAGAAAACATGGGACCAGCAGATAACATAATGGTTACATCACTGGACTCCCACATGGCCAAGTGCAGTTTGATTCCCAAACCTAGTAGGCTTAAAACTCAGGCCAGGTACATGTGTGTGCATGCCCAAAATCCTGAAAGGAGAATGGAGGAGATGGGGGATTGTATCATGGTCTTCCCCCTGTGGGATTTTTCACTTTCTGTATCTCTCTGTCTCTCTGGTGAACACAGGTGCCGAATAGCAAAAATCTCTCTATGAAAAAGAAAAGAAATTAAAAATAAAATAAAACCAGTAATATTGATGTAGAGGTCCACACTACTCCAATATGACTTCATCTTACTAATTACATCAACAATAACCTATTCCCAAATGAGGTTGCATGTTATAGTGCTGGGGGTTAGAACTTCAACATATTTAGAGGGGACATAGTTCATCTCATAATACCTTAACAAAAAATGAGAGAGAAAAAGAGAGAAAGGAGGGAAAGAATAAAAGGAGGAAGAGAAGGAAGCAAAAACAGAAGGAAGAGACCATCACAGTTTAAACAATAATTGACAAATTTTAGTTACCTTATAGAGTGATATTTAACCTATTCAAGGGGAGATGAAGGATAGATACATAGAGGTTAGAGAGATGATTAGATAAGTAGATTTAAATCTGTATTATCTACTTTCAACACGTAAGTATTTCTCAAGTAGGGAATACTGGAATTCCCTCTTTTGGAACAAAATATATGGTTAAATGAAAGGGACACCAGAGGAGTGTTCCTTATTCCTCCTTTATACTGAAGATCAGCAGATCAGCAGATCAGCTCAGTGAAATTTCATGTAAATACGCTGTTTGGCAGCAAATGGCGGAAGTGGGGGGCTGTGGGGCACGCAAGGTAAGAGATATTTAAAAAATAAGAACTAAAAAACAGAGACATCTCACCACACATTAGGCT